ACTAAAGATCAATAAACAGTTTAATTATGGTTCATAAATAATATCCAGTTAATTCTGTTCATTTTTAGCAGTAGATGCACCTTCTCTGAAGCTCAAATACTCAATTGCTGTCTTAGCTCCAAGAGAAAGTTTGAGAGATGGCAAAACTGTATCTCAAGTGACGAGAGCCTAAAGTAAATGGGATTCTGGGGGGCTGAACAGAAGAGTGAGACAGAAAATTGGACAGCTTCCAGCTACTTCTGAATACCCTCCAGGGTAGATTAAGTATATTTTAAACTCCCAGAACATGACACAACTATATTCCAGTGAAAGTTCAAAAACCTATTGCAAGGCCATAAATACAGGATTTTTTATCATGCAATTTGGAATTAGCCCACATACTGTCACTCCCTCAATTCCAGTAGACATATTAGAGAAATTGATAGCTTTTTACAAAAGGAGATTGGAATAGATTTGTTTTCCACTATTTGAAAGTAGATGCTCAAACAATACAAAACGTTCCTAACAATGAGGAAGGCAAACAGCAATGATTAGATATATTAAGCAGAAATCCACAGTAGCCACAGGAAATGTGTCTTCACTTCCAAGACAATTAATGTCTAGATTCTGGTCTTACTGCTATTCAAGAAATAGTTCTCTAGGAAACTCATTTGGGTGCAGTCTCAAAAGACTTCTTCATTAACAGTGCTAAATAGCCTTAATTATTATTCTAGGGTTCTTGCCATAAATACAACAAGACAAATGTCAAATGGCCTGGTGATTTCATTACATTGGATCAACAAATAGAGCACCTCAACAATGAGACACAAAATGGAACAACACCCATAATTACACTAAATTTCTAGAGCTATGAAAATATCCTTTTGTACTTTTCTAGGCCTTTTCTGAAACAGTTACAAAGGTGCTTTCAAATACTGTTTGGTAGCTAGCTTACTATCATCCCTGGAGCCTCACATCATGGTTCTGTGCTGGCAGACTGGTTGAGTTAGTCACTTTCCAAGAACGAGCTAGGGCGCCTGCCACCATGATGCAGAATGACTGGAAGATTCTTAAGAATCCCTTTCTCACTGATTTTTCTGTGTACAATGTGAAACTAACTTATACAAAAGTCTAGCTCTACCATCCTCCTTTCTGTCTTTGTTCATTTTTTAGGTAAAGTACTGCTTTCTTAAATTATGTAGTTCTTGCCTCGTTTCTTAACACCATTTTGTAATTAGCATTAAGCCAGTATCTTATTTAGGTTTTCAACCTATAGCAAGTATGTTCTAATTTCAATCAAACTATGGTTATCTGAGTGGTCAGCAATGTCAAATTACTTAGGAATATTTCAGCTGGTGTGGGCACCTCCTACCAAACTTCAAAAGCAGTAAGTACAAAATATATTAGTCACCTGTATGGATGATTCAGTTAAATGACTGCCCCTAATTGGCACAGAAGATACAGATCTGTTTCCCAAATAACAAGCGAGCCTCATGTGTACAAACAACAATACCACATTCCTTAGAAACGTTCATTTCCTTAGAAGCGAGTAACACCTGAGATATGATCGTTGGATCCCTATAACTCCTATGCCACCCAGGAGTGCGTACCTAAACTAATTTTATAACCTGATGAAAGGATTTGAGTCTACACCTCCTTGCCTTCCATTTGTTTTGATTGACTGCCTCACCACATTAGGAAAAAGGAAAAAAACCAGACCAAAAAATGCACCTCAGTCAGGGGTATTTTGACTCCATCAGAAAATCTGAAGACATCTGAACTTTGTATTTCACTCAGTTACATGGTCTAAACAATGGAGTAATTTATCATTAACTAATATTTGATCATGCTGGTCACCAACGGGTCTATTTCAGTCATTTTTGTATAATAAACCCAGGTACCTACAGTGCGGCACTGGAGTGACTCTCTCTGGCTGAATGGCATGGTCAGGAACCATGCTCTCTAAGTTGAGCAGGCCACTCCCCAGGAACACGTTAGCTGTCCATACTCTCGCAACAGTGAACACAGGAAATGAGCTCTTCCAGGAGCACTGAAAACTGCCACTTAAGGTAGTCACCGGCAGCCTGGAGTCAGCTTGTGAACTGTGACGTCTTTATAGCCCTGGACTATGCTTAGTGGTCATGGAGCACCCTCCTTTTATTGAGGGTGAGAATGAGGCCCAGAGGGTCACAGTCACCTGCCCAAGGTCACTCAGCCAGAAGGCAGGTTTCCTGATTACTCGTTCACCATTTTCCCTTTTACGTCACAGAGCTTCTTTGCCTCCCGTGGGCAAAAGTTCAACAATATTTAGCAGGAGTTTATTTATTGAGCACCAGCGACGTTAAAGATGCTTCTCAGTTTAGGAGGGGAACAAAATGGGTGCAAAGTGAGTGAGGACAGATCCACAAATACCATGGATGCCACGCCACCCTCTTGACCACAATTGCAGTCAAATCACTTCTTTGCAAACTTAGTAAAAAAACTGGCTAAGGAGAATAAGGAGACTGAGAATACCTTAAGATAGTTACACACCCAAGACATCTTGGCATATTTTGGCAGAGCTCCAAAATAACATTTAGAAAGTAGTGCCCTGATGGCCAGAGTTAGTACAGTTGCATTACTTAGTCATAAATATGTTTCCTTATAAATGCATAACACCATTGAAGACATTTTTAACCAGAGAAACACCCTTAATCCCACCACTGGAACAATTAGTTTCATTCATCTTTAAAAATTCTAATCTAGTATTTATTTGCCCCAATGTAACATATTTTCACACAGATGCTCTTGTAACACAAGTATAATTATTTATTTTATTTTTCATTTAATATTTCATAAACACATTCTCTATTTGCATGTAGTTCACAAAGTTCTTGTTTTTACCAGCCACATAATATTCCACAGAGTTAATATGCTTACTTAGTCATTTCTGTAATCATTCCCATATGTGGGAGTATTTCAGACCTTCTCATTTATTTTTAACACTAGAAACATATTTTTTCCTTAAAGTATTAACAAAAATGCAATTATGAAATCAAAGGGTATGAATATTTTATTGACTCCATATTTATAGCCATATTAACGTCAAGAGATTGAAATCATCTGTAAAGCCACCAGCAACATATGAGCATTCTACTTTTACCAAACGTCCTCACCATTGTATGTGATTAAATTTGTTTGGTGGTTTATTTAATATAAATTGGTATTTCAGGGTTGTTGTTTCATTTTAATGGTGATCATAATTAGTCTTCTATTTTGAGATAATTTTATTGTGTTTCATCTTTAATACAAAATTTTTACATTTAGGTCCTAATTTTTGTAATGAATTTCAATGGCCTTTTAATATGATATATATTAAAATTTCTACAAATTGTTCTGTAAGTTTATTTTTAGATACTAACCAGTTTATATATCTAGTGTGTATTTGGATTCTTAGTGTGAAGTACATACTCAAAGATTTTTGACAAATCCGTGTCTTCTATAATACTATGTACTAAGCTTGCTACATTATGTTTTATGCATATATTGTATTATTACAGGTCCACTTCTGGGTTCCCCTGATCTACATATTTAAAATGGGATGTTTATTCAGAGCTAGCAAATGTTTTGTGATTGGCATTGTGTTACATAGTCTTCATGTGCATTATCACAAGAACTTGTACATGTTAGGAGGTTTTAATGACTGTTACTGTTTTATAGTATGTCTGAGTCCATAGCAGGCCTAGATTCTACTCCCTAATCTTTTATTTTTAAATATTCCTTGATATTTCCTTGTGTGCACATATATACATGAGAAATTCTCATCTATTTTTCTCAGATTATATTATTTGATTGTGTATTTTCTACCCTCCATATTCAGCCATATCCAAACAATTCTCATCAGAGGTTTGAAAAGAATTGTGTTGAATCACAAATTAAGCATCTTTTCAATATTTTGTTTGCCCATGTTTAAAAAAAACAGTATATTATAAAGCACCTCTACATCTATTACATTTTAACTTTTATATTCGATAAGCATTTACAGTCTACAAGTCTCCTCCCTCTGTCTTTCGTCACTTCCGTTTCCCTTGCTTAGGAATACTTCATTCTCAAGTCCAGCTACTAAACTGTGTTAATTCCTCACACGGTCCCCTGAGTAATATCCTGTACATGTAGGCGAACACTGATTAAACAGAAGACAAGTATTTTAAGTCCTATCTTAATTGCCTCAACAAAAATAAAATTAAGCTATATGTAAATGACACAACCATCACAAAATAATAGCCTCCCCGGCAACTGCTTTATTTTCTTTGTACACGTACAAGACGAAGCCCCGAGTTCATTTAAAACAGGCTGAGTGGCTGAGGTTAACCTAATACCCTCCTCTTTTCCCTCTGTCTTGACCAAAGTCTCTTATTTCTGCTATCTGTGAAATGGGTTTGGATTCAAAGAGAGAGAAAACCAACAGGAAAATGTAAATGACTTAAAAGTCAACAAAATACTTTAAACTTAAACTTGACAGAGAATAGCCTACACATTGTTGTACCTGATAATTAAATCCATATCTTGATTTAACAAACCTAGGTAGTCTAAAAAAAAAAATCTGGTATTTATGAAATCTATGCGGTGTGTGACGAACTGCAGACACTCTGTTGAAGGGAAGAGAAGGACAAACAGAAGGACCGGGGTTGGAGGCGGCGGGGAAAGCCAGGAATATCTGTGTGAACATTGGCAAATAAGGACAGAAGCTCTTTTCCATCCACACTTCGAAAGTCACACTTTGTGTCAAATTGAGTGAAAGCATGAATGATGAGCTTCTCCACTTTCCTGAAGAAAGAAACACGTAGAAAATGTGGCAAATATTTAATCTGAGCCTTGTTTCCTGAAAGACTGCAAGATGCCCACAAATTTTCTTTCCCAGAGTTCAAAATAGCAAGCTGAGTGGGTGTAAGCACTTCAAGTGCAAAAAAAAAAGTAACTAAGGAAAAGGAAATCATACTTTTTGCTCCTCAGTTTGAGAATTTTAAAGGAAGCCACTTAAAGGGATTTTAATGATTTGGATCACGATATAAATACAGTCCTAAATACTTAAACAGAGCCCTCAGGCCACTTTTAAATGGCACAGTTTTTCTGTAAAGATCAAATACACAACCTCATTGTTATAGTAAGAGTGGGCAGTTTCCAGTCTGCTACAACCAGATACCTAAATACAACACTGGCAGAAAAGGAAAGTTCACTGAAGGTTCATGGGGTCTCTACCCCTCCCAGGAAGTGAGTCTTTCTCAATAGTGCAATGAAAACTTCAACCTGCATATAAGTCACCAGGGGAGACTGTTCAAATGTAGAATCTGATTCTATAGGTCTGGGTGGGGTCCAACTTGTTCAAGTTCCCCGGTGATGTTTCCTCACCGGTGTGAGGGCCATACTTGGAGAAGCAAGACTTTAGTCTGTAACAATGGTTTGCTGCCTGCCAGACAGCAGAAATAATATCCAACCAACCGAAAATGTTTGCAAGGTACCTAACACTGGGCACTAGTTAGAGGAGATAATAAAATACATACGATTAGCCCTGAGCCAACCCATAAAAAGTGATTTTTTTTAATTAAGTGCTAAATGCTAAAATACGCAGTAGTGATTCTAAGAATAACAGGAATTGAAAACAGGCAGAATTTAGTCAGGGCTAGAATAGTGGCAAGGAGCTTCAAAGAGCAGGTTGGACATGGTCAGGCCCCGGGTTGTGGGGATGTGGAAAGAGAAAGGGCAGGGGGCCAGAAAAGACCATTCTGGAAGGGAGTGAGTGCCTAGAATTCCAATGAAAAATTCTACAGTCACCTGCTTTGCGGCTGTAGATATTATCAGAAATTTTAACCAGAATTCACTTTTGACCAGGTGAAAGGAACTTCTGACCTTGTTTAAAATTTGTCGATTTGAAAATTATAATGGTGTCTCAGAACAGTAAAGCAATGGGCAGTCTTCCCTCAGTCTTAATCAAATTTTCTCCACTGGCAACATCCAGTGTTAATAATGACATTTAATAGGTTTCAGCCTGGTAGCACAAAGTCGCCTTTTTTATGTATATATTTATGTCATATATGCCTTTGATTAACCTATGTCTTTAATGATTAATAACTTTAACAGCATTAGGATACAACATTTCACTACAATAGAATTAATAATCTTGTTAGAGTGTTTGAATTCTACTTTTATTATGAAAATAAACACTTCTATCTCCTAGAAAATACTTTTGGGTGGCACATACCCACACAACACCCCTGGCTCCGGCACTATCTTCCCTTTCCGCTCACACTGGCTGACAATGGGAAGAAAGCACACATCCAGAAACAGAATGAAATTATTAATGAATTATATCTTAGGTTTTTGTTTTTTCAAATCTCCTTGGAGAGCTTTTCCCATCAACTCACAGTATAGGTTGGACCCAACGGGGTCAACAGAAAGGGAACAGAGGGTGGCCAGGGTCAATATAAACATGAAAATTCAAAGTCTAAACTTGTCTTACAAAAGAAAATTATGGGGGTATGTGGGTACCTGTAAGCTGCAGGAGGGAAGGAAGCATTTGAGAGGGTAACAGTACATTTTAGCATTTCCAGGTCAGGTGAACACTCTCACTGAGCTCCCATTCCATCCTTGGCACTACCAACCTTGTCGCTTCATTGTGAACAAGAAATGACATGTGGTCTACTTGCAAATATTACACTTCACATGAAAGTTCAATGCCATGACTATGGTTTAACCATAATTACCTTCCCTTCTACGTTCCTGTTCTGCGAAAGTTCTCTGTGCTT